TATATATATATATATATATATGGAACATTTAACAATTATTCGAATGTTGCTTTTACATTTTGTAAATATTTTTGTGGAAAACTCTTGGAATGTTACTTGGGATGTTGGGGGAACATTTTTCGAATATTTCAGAAATATTTAGCATTAGGTAGGATATTCCATATACTAAGTTCTTTAAAAGCTTTCGAAGCATGATTCTTTCCACAAAAGAAGGAAAATTTATCTGACCATGTGTTTGAGGTGGATAGTTTTTTTTTCCATAAAAAAGAGCGTATTATTGCAAAATGGCTTCTCAGAAAAATACATTACACAATATATATGCATATAATTTAAACATGTTAGTTGATATTTTATACCGTTGTATGCTTGTTATTTCATTATGATTTAAATTTCACTATGATGTAATGTATAAACAATAAGATATATAAAATACATTAAACATTGCCGTCAATGTGTATTAATTATAACGAGCATTATGCGTTCGCACAATGATTATTGTATCGATTGTATTTTTTATTTCTATTAAAAAGTTAAGATATAACATTATAAGTTACGTACTATAAATGTTACGACTTATTATTAATTCATATTTATACTAATAAAAGAATTCTATGTAAAATATACAATACCTATGGTATCATATTTACGACGTAATATTTCGATTGACAATCCAAAAAGATATAAATGTTAGAGAATTATAAAAATTAAAGAATCGATTATAATATTACAGATATACTTTTATAAGAGAAAGGGAGAGAGAGAAAGCTCTGTCTATCTACCTTGACATATGCGGCCTCTGGCAGGTAAAAAAAATTCTTCAACTCTGGTATAATTCGGAATAACAATGGATACCATGCCATATAATCGACTTCTCGCTGTAGATATCTTATAAATTTAATGAAGACGTATCCATTTATTTTTCCATACCCAAAGTCAAAAAGATCATCGATAATTTGAGCACGATTAAGAACGTGTACATTCGTGAGTTCCTCAGAATTTAAGTAATTTGAAATTTTTTCCCAATTTTTGATATCGTAATTTACACGATAGTATCCTATTGCATTATTCATTTTATTTATATATATACTTTTAAACATTTATAAAATCGCTTTCTCTTAGTGTAACACACACACACACACACACACACACACACACACACACACACACACACACACACACACACACACACACACACACACACA